TTTTTGGAGGAGCCCTCTCCCATGATCTTCACAGACTTTATTTTTTGATACTGAAATATCTTCTAAGACATTTCTAAGTACTGTCATGGTTTTCCAGATATCATAGATGCTGGCAGAATCCAGGTCAGGACCAACCCATGCTGAAAAGATGCTGTGCAATTTTTGTGGAAGGTCATGAATAATGAGGGCAGATGGAAATCACTGGTGATCTGCAGCATCAACTCACTGGATAGGTGCAGCCTATAAGATACATTCATTAAAAAAGAATCAGTATGGAAAGCTAAAGAGCAATTTTGAAGAGCATACACAGGCCACAATCTCGTAATTAATTTGGAGCAAGCTACCCATTTAAAGTATTTTTAGTCACATTCATCTCAGTTCTTCATGACTCTGGTGTTCTATGTGTCCCCAAAGTGCTGCAGGGTCAAGGCATAGTAAAAAGTGCTGATTTCACTCATAAAGAATATGAAATAGATAATTATATGGGCAGAGAAACTACCAAAATCTAATTTCCTGTGACTCATTTGCTAGCTGTCACTCTTGCACATGCTTTTTCTGTGGGTTCTTTAATAATGTGACTGATAATGTTAAATTCCATATGTCACCCTCTTCTGTTATATAAAACGGCACTGATCACAGGCAAGCTCTTAATGCTTTCTGTTCTCACTGACACTTGTAAGAAGCAGCCAAAAAAAGTTCTGTCATAACCATTTCATTTCTACAGGGTGTGTCCCACCTGGAGCAAATTGAAGTACCAGGAGAAAGTCAGCCCAGCAGGGAAGTCATGGAAGCCATGTAAAAGAAGTGATGGAAGCATTAATGCCAGCAAGTGGGTCCTACACCCTGGGTAGTGTTTTTTCTTGGTTCCTGCTCGTGACCAAAGGGATTAGAAAATGCATGAAGGAAAGGAAAGGAAAAAAAGAAAGGTGTTTTCAAGAGCTGCAGAACTAATCACATCTGTAGACCTCCTGAGAGAATAAGCATTGTTCCTCCTTGGTGGGGTATTGATATTATATGCAATCCAGTGAAAAAAAAAGCCAGGGACTATTGTCAATCTTGAGAACAACTGATGACAGGGATCACACCTAAGCTCTACAGTCTCCCAAACCAGGCTGGTTCCTGCTCCATATATCAATCCATGCTGTGTCCAGCACTTTCTGGGGCAGGACTTTCTGACCCATGGCAAAAACATGCCATGGATTAAATTTACACTTGAACGGTACAGAGCATTATCATGTACCAAAGCTCAGAAACTTGGTTTGGGTCTCTCATTTATCTATTTTAAATGTAACTACAAGGTTATTTTCCTGTATGCAGTCATGGTAACTTACAGAAATCTTGGTGTTATTCTAGGAGAGTAAGTGGGATTTATTTGACAGAGACAGAATACTATATTATATAAAGTATAATATGTTTCTTCCATAGCTGGAAGAAGCAGCAATGACTTGTGGCACCCATCCATCAGATACAAAACTGAAATAGCAAACTTAGACCAAATAAAATTTAGGGGAAAACTGTACTATATTTAAGATAATCATTTTAACTTCAAAGAAGTAATACCAACTTCAATGTCAGTAATACCAAACCACATCAACAGCTTTCAGTGCTTTTGTCTCCTTTTCACCATCATATCTCTTGCTAAGAATAAAATTCAGACCAAATTTTTTAACAGACAGATTCTCAACAGCTTGTGCATCAGGACATATTTGGCAGTATGTGTCCGACAGGAATTTTTCTGCCTCCTAGAAAATTTCTGCTACATATTCATGCATTTCCCATTGAAAGAAACCTGATTCTTGGCCAAAATGAAGCTTGTTAGCAGACAGAACAGGAGGGGTCCTTCTCCCTGCTGCACCTCTGATTATCATAGGTTTTGACTCACACCTGACCTCTGCAAACAGATGCTCTCAAATCCAAATTACTCTACTATGGAAATGCTTTATAACTTGAAATATTGCCAATTCATTGCATTTTTTAAAATATTCTTTTTAGACTTTTATATAGCATTCATAGTTTGTGGGAATTTTTTCAACACCATCTGTCTATCAGAGGTGAAAAAAAAATCAGTGTTTTTAAAAAAACCCGAAATGAATTTGATAAGATCAAATTTTTCTTTTAACATGTTTTCTTCTTTTGACAGAGATCTCACAAATATATTTGCTATTCATGAAAAACAGGAATTAAGAACTGTTTTCTAGTCTAGTTTTCTGCTAAAACCTTTTTTTAAACAGCCACAAACACAGTGAGGAGAGTGACATAGTCACAGGACGGGCTCAGATTTTTTGGGTACTCAGTACCAGCTGCTGCTGAGCTGTTTGTATCTGGGGTCAGTGCAGGGAATAGAGATGGGAATGAACTTCCGTGTGGGTGGGAGCTGTCAGCACCTGCTTCAGAAAGGATAGCAGGAGAAGTAGTGTAGGACCAACTGAACCTCTTGCTTAAAGCAGGGGCAGCTCTGAGGTCAGATCAGGCACCTCAGTGTTATTTAGTCTAGTCTTGAAACATTCTCAGGATGGAGGCTGCGTTGTCCTGGCAACCTGCTTAGATGTCTGACTGCCTTCAGAGGGAAGAAGTCCCTGTTCATACCCAGGCTGAACCTCAAACCTCAGCCCTTTCCACTCAAACTTGTTGTCTTTCATCTTCACACCAAGCAGCACTGTGAAGATCTAGAACTATACTCTTGAAAACCTCCCTACAGGTATTGGGGAGGCTTAGGGTCCTCCTGCCAAAGCCATCCCTTCTCCAGCCTAATTAGCCCAGCTCTCTCAGACCCTTCAGCTCAAACTATCATGCTGACCCTGGACCAGACTTGCCCCAATTTATCAATGATGTCCCTGTACTGGGGAAGTCAATACTGGGCACAGTATGTAGACATAGAGTAACAAGCACTGAGGGCTGAGAAGCTGTCTCTTAAGTAACTGACCTGTGATGATCCTGTTGTGGTCTGAGAGATGCATGAGATATCACTTTGCTCCCTCTGTCCCTGTGTCAGTGGCTGCTGCCCATAACTTTCAGTGACAGAAAATATACACATGCACTTCAGCTGTGTCAGGGCAAAGGAGGCTTGACAAACAGCTGTAATGAGGAGCAGGAGAAGGCCACATACTTGTCCTCCTCTGCTTCCCCAACTATGGAGGGTGGTAACATTCAGCGGGCAGGAGGGTTGGAAAACATCACCTCTCATGTAAAGTACTTTGGCCATAAACTTCAAAGTGCTTTCCCAAAAGGATTGCTTGGGATTGCAAGTTGGATTGCTATTCCTGTTTTACAAATCAGGAAGCTGAGGAAAAAGGGAAGGAAGTGTTTTGACCGAATTGATCTAGCAGCTGCTGGCAGAGGTGGGCAGAGACTCTGAGTGCTCCCCATGTACTGCACTGCCTCTCAGAGCAGGGACCAGCCCTGGTTTCCTCAGGCACACATTCCATGAGTGCTTGATGGCTTGGTACAACGGCAAATTCCCACTTGGAAATCAGGCTGGTGACATGACAACAACAGCCTTCAAACTGTGCAGATTTGTGGCTTCAAAGCGCGAGTGCTGATGAGAAATACCATGAATTAGTCATGATCTTATCAAAAATATTTTATTTATGAAAGTAGCAATTATAATATACAACCTATACTGGAAGGACATTGAATAATTGCTAGAATAAATACAGGCAATTTATTCAATCTTTTTATAGAATGAGAAGATTTATTTGACGTCTGAATGTTAACCCAAGCTTTAACTTACATCATAAATAGTTAAAAGGCATAGCCAAGTTTTTTTTTTATTTTTACCTTTTCTTTTGCTTTTTTTTTAATACTGTTCTATTTTGTAATTAACATGAATCAATTCTCCAATCATTAACATAATATTAATATGACTTTCAAGCAATCATGTACCTCAAGATAATCAGACAAATAAGGTAGTGTGTGTGCAGTTCATTCTACAGCAGAATCTATCCATGTCTGCATAAAATAGAGAAGCTGAAAATGCTTCTAAGTTCTTTAAGCATCATATGCTGATTTCTGCTTTACCACAGTGCTTTTAATACCAGAATCTAAAAAGGGCAGCTGGCTTTCTGTTGCTCTTTATAGAGTATATTAAGGCTCAATGCCACATTCCTTTGGCTGGTGAAGGATTGCAGAATTTAGTCCTGAATATTATTTCTCAAAACCATGGTCCAAAATAAATGCCCGAGACTGATTATTAGGTACCAAGGAAGTGATGAATTTGCTAAGCCTCAATGTTTTCTGATTAAAAAATTGGCTTCCTTTCTAGTAGATATGCTCTAGTAAAACACAAATGATTGGGCTCAGTACTGGGGTCTGTATTACACTGGATGTCAGAGAAGTTGATGTTTGTATTTTCTGTAAACTATATGAAGGGCACTGCAGAAATTTTATAGTACACCACACACATTTTGAAAGTGTTGATAAGTTTTTCCTTCCACGTATTTTTTTTTAAATAAAAAATCTGAACTATCTGCTTGGTACTAGCAGAGTATTAACAACTACAACCATCAGTGAAATCAACAGCACTTTTGGGTGCCCAGTATTTTTCCAGATCAGAAGTTTTTGACTCCTCAAGTCCTATATAAAATCAGTGGGAGTCTTCCTATAGCAATGTCTTTTCCAGTGGCAGAGAGGCCTGCCTTGCCTTATGGTTTATTGTGCATGTTAGGGATATTAAGCTCTCAACAGAGAAGCAAATTTCCCTCTTACAATGTTATCTAAACAAAAACCCCAAATTGCACATATCTACCCTTTTGGCCTTTTTTATGCACAAATATGCTTGTATGCAAAACCTGACAATGTTGGGCCTTTCCTAATAAATGCCTTAAAAGAGCACATTTAAATGCTTTTTCACAGAAATAACCATTCATTAGTTGCAAAAATGCAGAGAGACTTTTTAGTTGCAAAAATGCAGAGACTTTTTATTTTTTCTGTTGTGAACAATATCATTTCAGCAGAAATTTGAGGTGAGAAAGTTTGATTTTTTTCCCTAAATATATTTAAAAAGGCTAAAGAACAAAATGTTGGGGAGGCAGCTTTTTTTGGCAGATAGTAAAATATAAAATATGTGATTTAAAAAAAAAGTTGGCTTAAAAATACACACACACAAATAATACAATAATATAAAAATACAGCTCAGCCAATGGCCTCTTAAAATTTACCTTTGGCATTACATTTGGCAGCCTAAAACAAAAGACCCTTCCTATAAACAGAACTATAAAAAAAGAGAAGTTCATAAATTAGGTTGCAAGGGGTTGTAAGGTCCTTTTCCAAATTCTCCAAAATCCTTTCCTGTCTGTCCACACACATAAGCATGACCAGTGAGGTATATAGAATGTAACACTGTCAGGCGTATGCACAATAAAAAAGTGCATAAACATAGAAGTTCTCCCGTTTTCTTGCGAACAGGTCGAAACTGTGTGGTTTGTGTCTTCCCCCCCTTGGAAAAAAAAAATTGGTTTTTTTTCTTACTTTGGCAGGATGAAAACGAACCCAGAGGAATATGTGTCCTATTCCCAGCAGCAGTGATCCATTTCCCTTGGCAACATATGTCTGATGCCACAGATACTACAAGGTCGTTGGGTTGCTTTACAACTCTGGGTAACTTCCCACGGAAACATCATACGTCTAGCACCATGTCGTAGTGTTGTTGCTCTTTCTTCCGCCTGCCACATTTGTTGATAAGAACCATGTACAAAGTCAAAAGCATAACCCAGTAACATGCATAGAGTATTGTGCCAATGATGAGAACTGTCTGTTTTGACTCAGTAAATGGCTTTTTTGATTCCTTGTAAATCGTGAAAATTACGCCACCTAGGAGGATTGTAAACCAAATGGAGACTGGAATGAGTCCTATAAAATTAACTACAATGGTTTTCCTTCCTGATGTGCCCCACCCTGCTTTGTTTATCGTGGCAATTGCAAACATCTTTGCTGGCAGTAAACTTGACATGTACAACACTGAGTAGAGTGACATGAAAACCATGACAATGTTGCCCCTAAGGAAGCTGGCAAAGGAAGACTTTATCAGGCCAACTAACTGAACTGTCAACAGGAAGAGGAGGATGTTCCAGATTTTTCCCCTGTAGAAGAGCTGAATGACTGTGGCGATAAGAAAGAAAGGAAAGAATCCAGTGATTACAGCTTCATAGGTCATCCACAAATGGTGCTTGTGGAACCACATTGCATTATAAAGCCACTCTCTAAAGTAGGATTTACTCCAGCGCGTCTGCTGATTCAGCCACCTGAGATACTCTATCGGTGTTTCGGTAAGGCACTTGGATCTAGCGGTGTATTTTGTTGCATAGCCCAGACTTAGCACTCTGTTAGTTAGATGCCTGTCATCTCCAAAGCTGCACTGGGAGCCCATAAATTCTTGATTGTACCAATCTTCCACAAATTCATGGAGTAAAGAGTTTCTGTACATTCCCAGAGGTCCGCTGATGCACTGTACACAGCCAAAGTAGGACTGACAGGCTCTTTCTATGTTAAATGCCATCCAGTATCGCACGCTGCTCAGAAAGGAGATCCAGGAATCGTATTTGTTCAAAATCTGCAAAATAAAAAAAGTTTTCATTTTAGATGAGCTCTTGAGACAGAAAATATGCAAATTGGATTGATAAGAAATGTGCAGAGACTAGAGAACCACTGGACCAAAGGTGGTGGGAACCTCACTCCTGAGTCCAGCTCATGGCAAACCCAGGAGTTACACAAACAGCTCAGCCAGGACATTGACAGGAAGGGTGAGATGAAGCCTTCAAAAGTATGTTCCACCAAGATATTTTCTTTTTCTTCACACACTTTCCTTTCTCCACCAAGAAACTTCCTTCTTTTCTGTCTTGTTCTTCCCTCCCCTTTGTCCCCACTTAAAGACCTGTTGGACTCAGACATTTCTAAGAGCTGGTGGAGTCCCAGACATGGCCTCCTGCTGCTCTCCTCCCCACACCCATCTTTGGGACTCACAGAAGTTCTTCCAACCTTCCTAAAGCTCTCGCACAGGAGCATGAGAAAAGTTGAGCACATGGTCTTTGCCCTAGATTTTTGGTATTGTAAGGCCCCAGAGGCTTGACCCTGGACTGTGTCCCCATATCCGACAGTAGGCCCTCTGAGGAACAACCTGTTCTACCTCTGCAGTACCAACACTGTTACTTTGTCCCAAGACATAAGGTGATATTCCAGTAGAGTCTGTAGTCCTTTGGCCTCCATAAAGCTTTCAGTCTTTCTCTTCTGCACACCCCAAAGCTCACTTGAAGCTCAGACCTACACTTAAAATACGACATAAGCACAGTCTAGGAGACTGAACACTCAGTGGAGGTATGAGTGCCTGCAGATGTACCAGTTCGTGGCTTTGCATCCAAGTTCTCAGCACACAGCTTGTGCCAGAAGATACAGCAAGGAAGCGTGTGGCAGGGTGGCTGTGCCGGCTTTGAACTTATGTCTTCTCAGTGTGGGGATTTTCAGGGGGACCTGTGGCCTTCTACAACTAGAAAGCATTGCCCTGTAACTAAAAAAGAGTAGTCTTTGTTCTGATGACCCTAATTTCTGTCAGGTGTGAAGGCCACGGGCCAATCTTGTCTCTGTTTCAGTTTAATTCCAGAATATTTTAGAAGCAGCAGGGCTTGGAGATAGATACAAGCCTGGCTCAAATGCATTTGGTGTATGCTGGAAAATGAACTGGGAAAAAAAAAAAAAGCCCAGAGCCTTCATTGTGTCACCTTTCCTCCCAGAGGACACATGTCCTTCCCACCTCTCTCTGCAGATGCTTATGAATGTTCACTGTCACAGCTGAACCTGTGCTGCCTCCCTCCACTTGTACTCACACATGCCTGGCATCTCACATGCATAGGGTGAGTGTGACACCTGGTTTGTAGCCAGTCTAGAGCTCCAAAGTTATTCAGGTTTCTGTGTGAATCTTAATTTCTGGAGTTGAGAGCCACATGCCTGAAATACTTCTGACTACTGGGGCATTCATTAGTAAGTGCTTGCCCATATAGATGGTCTTTCTTCTCTGTGTCACATAAAAAGCCCAACTGAGCATGGGGGACTGATCCTAAGGCCTATTGAAATATTCATACACATTTTTCTTTATAAAGTGTAGCAGAAGGAGTTGTGTCAAAAGGAACCAACAGTCTTCTGCTGTAGCTGTCAGCCAAACTTGGCAACGCTGGAAATCCTAACAGATGTGGAGCTGGTCTGACGTAGGAGTTTTCCATTGCCCTGCCTGCCAGAGATGCGGGGGAAACCCAGCAACACATAGAGTGCATAGTGCACAGCATTTCAAAATGTCTTTTATTTCTAACAATCTTGGATGACAGTAGTAATATAATAGAAGTACTTGAGATGCTGAACATGGTTTTGAGAGACCTGTTCTCAGTTCCCTGCTCCCCTATAGCTTTGCTTTGGTACCTTGGGCAAGCAGTTATACCCAGAGACTCAAAGATGCCACAACAGTCCTGACAACGCCAGTGCCCTTCTTTTTACATATATGAGGCAGAATAATATTTGTTTGCTTGCTATGGGTGTTAAAATCACACAGTGCTCACGTACAAGAATAAGAGTTTCCATTCAATCGACAGAAAGATCAAGGTATGATAAGAGCCTCTATAATGGTATCACATATTATATATACACATATAGTATGTAGACATCTAGTATATTCAGTGCTATTCTAGGCAGGGAAATCAGTTGCAATGCAAATAATTGCTGAAACCCCTCTGTTAATCTGAAAATTGTTGTACTCACCTGCACATCACCTCCAACTCCTCCAACCATTGGATCCTCTTCTAAAACCTTTACCATCTCCACTGATGAGGCTGGATCAAGCATTGTATCTGAATCACAGACCTACAAGTAAGACAAAATGAGAACAAAAATGGGTTAAAGAAGAAAACAAAAATCATGCGAGTGGTTATAATGACTCTAAATGCATATTCTCCTGAATGTAATTAAATCTGACTTTGGAGACTGCATTGATATTTCTGTTAAAGGTCATTTGTACCAGGCAGCAAAGAGTGTTGCTGAATGAAACAGAGACCTTGTTAAGGTTGTGCCCTCCAACAATCCTCTCTTCTGTATCAGCTCTGTTTTTTTACTAACACAGTGGGCTGGCTTCGTTGAGTAAGATATGGGGCACCACAGAGTGAGACAATGTTGGTGGGTGTGCAGCAGATTCCTGTTGAGCCCTAGCATAGGGTTTCCCTGCATCAGCTGCACAGTTGGAGCACCCTGGTCAAATGTTTCCCACTGCCATATGAGGGAAGGAGTGAGGAGGTAAATTCCAGACACTTGTTATAAAAAAAGAAAGAAAAAAGTCAAGTAGGAGTCTGGTAAGAAACCTAATAGTTCTTTCACTCACAGAAGACTTTAGCAATTCATGTAAGATATGTATCTTGGATTCCAGCACAAATTCATTTTTAATTTTAGATGTACGGTGTGTTATTAGTAGTGCCATGATTTGACATTTGATATATAGAAATTATTTGCTATTTTTCTCTGGCATTCTTATAAAAAATATGTAAGGCCAGAAGGAATGAGTCTCGAAGTTCAGTACTCCATGAGATCAGGGCAGAAATAGATGACACACGCAAGGCATTTCAGCTACACAAACACTCCTAGTCAACTAAATTCTGTGTACATTAGGAAATTGGCTTTCCCCTGGAGAGTAGGAGGAGGGCTCAGACAGGCTGGCCGGTCTGCAAGGCAGCTGGCATTGCTTTCATTTGCTCTGAGGAGAACAGCACGGGCTGCAGCCTGTTTTAAAAAAGTGGGTGTTTCCTTGTTGCAGTTGCTGGTGCTGAAAGCATTGCCCACATAGTGTGTGAACTCACTTCACAGACGCCCAGGAACTGGAGCAGAGACTGTCCCAGAAATCCCCCTCTGACTGGCTGAATCCTGACCTACAAATTCTCATACTGCTTCCAGTTTGTCCCCACACTGATTCCTGTGATTTCGATGGCGTCGGTAGGTGCTAAAGTCAGTAGCTCTGCATGAACAACATATTAAGACAGATTCTGCTGAGACTTTGTATCAGGTATCTTAATTTTGGTGTTCTTCTGTGCAAACTTTCAATTCAACCCAAGCCCTCTCACTCCAGGGGAGCAGTAACCTTCACGTCTTGTCTATAAAGGGGGAGGAGAGCATTTTGAAGCTCTGCTATAGATCAGGCTCAAGAGGAGAGGTTACCCAGAATAGTTGGGCTGCATAGCTTGGGATGCAGCTGGGAGTCTGCCAGCATGCTCCCCTCTATGCTCACTCAGAGGGGGCCAAGAGGATAAAGGTGATGAAAGCTCTCATATTTCCATCAGAAGAAAAGCCACAAGCATCTCCAGCTTGCCCTAACTTGATGCATCCATCTCTTCTCCTCAAAGGACTCATCCCAAGGAGAACCTTTGTAACCCGGCCAAGGTGTGCCTCCAGCTTTAGTGGAAAGCTGTCATCAGTGGCAGTGCTTGGTGATAGAAAGGGAGCAAAACAATTCTACTGAAGAGGAGAAAGGATGCTTGTATTTCACCAGGGGCTTCCTGGAAAGACCTGTTGCCGAGTGTTTTGCACAGGTAATCTGTAGTTTGCTGAATTCCCAGGGTGCTCAGGCAGCTTTAGGCATCCCATTTCTTGTGACCATGAGTGGTGGGCTGGGATCAGCTCCCCCCCCAGTCCCTCTGCTTTCCCTCCAGAACCTGTCCCTTGAGCAGCCACCACCCCCATCAGATGCATTTCTTTATAGCAGAAAGGCCTGCCCATGAGAACCCTCACTAATATGAAATGAGGAAAACACTGGATTTATTTACAAGTTACCATTACATGTCCTGGGCATGCCAGCACAGTGGACATGTCTGGGGTTCTGGGACAAACCTAACAAGCCATTATTTTTCATCTGGATGAGGTTTTTGCATGTGAAAAGAGGACACTCCCAAATACGGACACTTAGGAACCCAAATAAAACACACTGAGGTCTGCCCAGCCAGGGGTGGCCCAGGACAGCCTAAGAGGCAATTTGCCATCTTTCCACATAAAGGCTGAGTGACCTAAAAATTACTGCCTTGGGTCACAGCGTTGCATTAAAGGGACGGTTGACCTTAAACGAGCTGTTCAGATACTTTTTGTAGCCAGTGACAGCTTATCCAAGCTGCTTTGAGAAGTTCAGACTGTGCTGGACTGTCCGCACAGGTACCTCCATCAAGCCAAGATGAATTGTACCCCGGCTGCCGCAACCAGCTCTGCACCAATGACACCTGCCAATTTAACTCCTGCACCTGATTACTTGCACACTGCTAACCTCCTCCAGGATGGAAATAAGCCTACACAGCAGTTTCAGGTACTTAATGAGACACAACTAATGGCAACAGCTTGTTATCTGCACTGGTCTGACAGCTTATGGTTGCCTGTCCATAACCCCAAGGTGGGGTTTTAAAAACCGTACAATTTCAAGGCCTACAATTTCAGGGAGGGCAGTGGTGCTGAATGGTCCACTTTTTTAAGTGCTTTATCATTGATGCAGATTGCTTAGCCTTTAATATGTTGGGCCTGTTTAAAGTAATTTACCCTGGCTCCCCCCAAAGAACCATTTAAAATATCTCAACCTTCATTCATTCATAAAACAAAGCCACATTTTAGCTACATTCCTTCATGACTGTGACTCCAGGGCCACCAAGGTGCTGCATTTCTATTACAGATGTAACTGTAGATGTGACTGTGGCATTAGTCATTACTGCAAACTTTGCTCAGAGCAGTATTACAGTCCCTGACTAATTCATTAGGACTTCTGAGCCCAGTCAGGAGTGTTAACTGACCAGAAATACCTCTTCCATTTTCTCAGTTTATGCTATGACTGTTGAAATAGAAACATTTTTTCCAGGTTCCCTGAAAAATGCAAGACCTGGACTAAGGGAGGAAACTTGCAATGAATCAGCTTCCTCTCTCTGCCTTCTTTCTCTGCAATCTGGTATTTGTGTGTGAAGTAATTATAAACCCATGCTAATAGAGAAAATCAGCATTTTTATCCCATCATAGTTCCTTACAGCACAGAATCAAAGTGCAGACAATGGAGAACTTAAGGCCACTCTTTTCAGAGAATAAATTATTTTCAGTCTGAGAAGTGGTAGGGGATGGGTTTTAAATCTTCGCCTTACTCTCTCAGCTCCAATAACAGAGCGGTTCCTGGCATTCTTCAGTTCCTGCCCCTCCTGTGCATGGAAGACTCACTGGTCTCAGCCCAGCTACTGGCAGGCTCTCCACATCCCTTGGACACTGTGCACGTGGATGCTGTGCTGTGCAGAGCATGCACACACCCACACAAGGCTGGGCACAGACCCCAGAAACACATATGGCTCAGCCATGCAGCTGCCCTGAGCCAGCAGAGAGCATCTCACGGGGAGCTGCTGCTCCACTGGAGAAGACTGCTGGATGCTCTGTGTTTGGGAGAAGGCAGGAAGAACTGAGGGTAGTTCATTAGGAAGATCATTTCATATTCAGTGGTATTAGTCAAATGAGCCTTGTTGGCCTTGAATGATAAGGAAGGGACCTTAGTGTCCAGCTAGAGATCCTGATCCCACCCACCTTCCTTATACATGACCTCTTCCCCTTCCTACAATCAGCAGAGCTGTTTGCAGGAGTGAGAAGTGCTCCCATGTAAGTAAGACAAAAGCACAGACAATCTTTCAGGGGATCCAAGGCAGTTGGAAAGAAATGTGCCTCTGCTGCTTTGAAAACAGGGAGAGAGGACCCAGCCTAATTCATTTTTAAGTGAATAGTGTTGTAAGAGCTTTAAAGGCCAAGTCGCGGTGAGTGAGGTAATGCAGCTGTAAATGATGAAGCAAAAGCTCCTTCAGGCTTTAGCTGGAGAAATCTTTCTTTCAAATCTGCACATTGACCCTTTTATTGAATACTCCACATAGCCTTTGATGCCTTTAAAATATCCTCATTTTTTTTACAGATTCCACCATTGCTCTGAGATATTCCCTAGTGCCATCAAATACCTGTCTGTCTGCTCACATGGAGCCACTGACAACCTCACAAAATAAAGCCTTACCCAAGATCTTAACCTACAGGAGCATAGACGGGGTTTTCAGGAGGCCACTGTCTTTGTGTGAAGCAAAACCATTTAGATGAGAGGGCAGTACTGAAGGCTGGGGGAGGATTTCGGATTTCTCCAGTAGCTGGCGCACAGATTTAACATAGTCACAGATAGACAGGCCATTTTAAAAGCTAGCAAAATACCCTTTTAACGGTCAAGCTGTTTCCAAACAGACTGAAAGGAGCACTGTGTTCATCAGGGACTAGGATAGCCTCTAACATGCTGCATAAAATATACAAAAGCTGCTTTCTTTCAAAGTGTGTTTGAATTGGCACTGACCTGATGCTCTAATACCTACCTGTACATAATCCACGCTTCTCCCCAGTGCTTTGAATGCTGTGTACATTACTTCTCTTTTTCCACCCCATTTCTGCATGATGCAAACACTTTTGTTGGACAGGACCAGCTGAGATACGTGTTGCATGCTTTCTCTGTGAGACTCTTCCGTCTCACCTGGACCTTTGTCGTGGAAGTTATTACTCCAGACATAAGTGGCACATGTGTCCCTACCCATGATTTCAGTGAAAATGTCCATCATGTAAACGTCATCTTCTGAGTTCCCATCAATGACCATAACAACTTTAATTCCAGGGTAGGTCAATCTTTTCACAGAAAGTAAACATTTTCTTAAGTAGTCAGGATCCTCTTGATAGGCAGCAATACAAAGGGCAACTGTTTTGTTCAGCTTGATTGGAGTCTCTAGCGACCGTTTCATTTTCCTGTGCTCTAGGTAGGCAAACAGGCTTTGGATGATGAGATGTGATGCCAAGATAGCACCATAGAGTCCAAAGGAGAAGTAGTAGTTGTCTGTTTGGATGAACTGGTAGCCTACAATGTAAGCAGCGGTGATTCCCAGCAGGAGGGACACCCCGAAGAGTGTGGTTCCAAGTATTCTCAGGATACATATAAACCTCTCACAATACATCTGCAAAGAAGTAGGGAAACCGTTAGCAGAGCCACCACTTGCTGGCATAAGATCTCATAAGCGGTTCACGTGGCTGCAACACAGATCTCAGCAGCAACAGATACACCCTGAGCTTCTGGCTCACAGACTTATGGCATCACCTTGCTCAACATAACATCTCTTTGCAGTATTTTCTGCATGTAAAGCATGACCCAAACACACTTAGTGTAGCAGAGATGTTTGCTATTTGTAATGTCCTCACAGAAGTTGCTGTCTGTGTCAGGATCTTATTTTGGCAGCCTGGGCTTGCTGGATGAGATGCTCTGTCATATTTCCCTGAGGAGACTGGAGAAGGGCTCTTGGGCCATCACTCGCTTCATACAGCCACAGGCGAGTGGAACAGCTGAATGTCTGGGCAGCCCCTCCTCATCCCCCATCCATGTCATGACCGCATCCCACCCTGAATTGTTTCGGTCACTTAGTTATGTTTGCAAAAATATTGGAAAGACATTCTTAAAACAGATGTCTGAATGTATTTATAATTTTTTAAACAGATGTCTGACTATATTTATAATTTATATTTATATAATCAGACATCTGCTTTAAAAGGTCTTCTCAATACCATTGCAAAAATGTATTATTTATACATTTGTGTACATAGATATATGCACACGTGAGCATGTGTGTATAGGGGCTAAAGCTTGACTTAGATTAAGTCTGTTGCAAAAATACTCATAAATTTAACAGAGCCAAGACTCCACCCTGGACTCAGAAATTCCTTAGGACATCAGTTGATTCTGACCACTTCTACATACTTAGGTTACCTGCCTATAAAATCTTCTGACCTAAGCTCTGGGCTGTGGCTGGCATGGAGGGTGCTCTGGTATTCTCGAGACAAACAGCGTAGACAGGCAGAGAGGCAGACTGTATTGCTACCTAACTGCTTTCTCTTGACAATCACATTAACAATTTTATGCTTTCTCAGAATTACAGGAAGTTAATGACAATGTTTTCTGTCACTGGATGCATTTAATGTGAAGGACATAAAACAGATAATGTCTGTTTTAGGCTAACCCAGCAAGTGTGTTGCAAGTCAATAAAGCTCATGCTTGAATATTTTGCTGAAGTAGATCCTCTCAGAGTAATGGACTTAATATTTGTGTTTTCTTGCTATTATTCATGTTTTCCCTGCTGCTATCATCTTGCTCATTTGCTGATCATATTTGTTTCACCATCTGTTGGCCAAAGCTGACGTTGGAACAGGACTTCCTCACCTCATATATGTTTTTAACTCTTCATTGAAAAATTACTACCAAGCTACAGCAACATAGCTGTCATCAGTTATATATGTCTGACAAGTTATAGGCTTGGAAAAGTCAACACGGAATCACTTACCAAATCAAAATAAAACTAGATGAGCATGAAGTTGGAGGTTACAAAGACTTTGCTTTTTTTTCCACTGGCTATTTAGGGTCTTAAATTTCAAGACAGAAGGAAGCCTCTTAAATGTATATTTGGAGGCACCGTTAAAGAAATCGGACCCCATCTTTATGACTTCCTTGAATACTTATGGCTGGGCTCTGACAGGTGCTGTAATCATCCACCATCCCTGCTCTGGCCTGTCTGAAAATTTTTCACAGTGGGGGTGATAAAGAAGCCTAATAAAAGATATGCTTACTTCCACTGGTATATATGAATTAAAACCCAGTGCCCAAATTAGACTTGCTTTAGAAAAGAGATTAAGTAACGGATCCCCTTCTAGATTACCTTAAAGTCAAATAGCTTGTGTGTTTACTAATTCCGCAAGCATGCAAAATGTCACAAACATCAAGGTAAATGTCTCATTAATGGTGCAGCTGTACTCTGCTTTCCCTTTTGGGGTTTATCACTTCTTTTCTCTTGCCAGAAATAGAATATTTGTATTAGTGAGTAGGGGCCAGAGTCTGCTTACATTAACAATTATATGGCTGAAATAAATGGACCGCTTCGATGGGTAGGAGTCACAGGATTTAGATTAAGATCTGGAGGGGTTACATCTGACTGCCTATATACTGTACTAGGCATCTTTTATACTAATTTGTTATTGCTTTTCTGTACCCGTGAAGTGCTTCTGCAAAAAAAGGAAAAAAAAAGAATAATTCTCTGATCTTGTCATTACAGCCCAGCTTCCCTCTGTTACAAACCCCCAGTCTTTTAAAATCAAGAAATGGACTTCTGGTGCTAATAAAACAGCATTTTTTCTATCCTTTCACTGTCATCCTTAGGAAAATAAATGGTGTTTTGATCTAAATTCCTGGCTTTCATCAAAGAAACTTTGCTCTTTGTATGTGCAATTGAGGTTTTTATGTATAGTGTTTTAACTGACTGAATCTCAAGGAACTCTGGAAAAAGTTGCTCAATATTCTCAAGCTTTAACACGTGAGCTATTGATTGCTTGCCCAGCAGAAATGATCTTTATCAACTTGAACATGCCCAAACAATGGCAAAGAAGCCAAAAACTCTCCACCCTTCTCCAGTAATTGAGCCAAAAGTAAAAGGAAATGATGCTTGTACAAGTCTGGGACCAAAAATGAACTGCTGAGTCAAATGCTAACACCAAGGGTAGGGAGCAGCTGCATTAGAGATTTTTAGGTCAGACAGTGCTGTTATGAGCATCTAGCCTGGCCTAACACAGTGAAATATAATAATTCTATTTTGCAATTTGGGCACCTAAATCCTTTACACACACCTTCCCCTAACCCCACGGTGCTGAGCCCAGTACGAGCTTTATGCAGCCTCCAGCAAACAGACTCCAGGTTTGTATAAACAAGATGAGTGTACGTAAAGAGGCTTCAAAGTCTGCTATTGAGCAATTTGTTGTCATTATATTGCAGCTGTTTACTTTCGTGGATGGAGCTGAGCAGTGCTCACAGCACATCTAGTAGAAATTAAATGTGAAAGTCATATGCTAAATCCTAATGCTGTGTAGGCTGTTGCTGATTCACTCACACATTTTGATTCACTAAGAGGTCCCAAGGATATACGTGCCTTGTAGTGACTGTACAGGAGGAGGCAATGTGCCTTTCTTTGGATGCTCTTATGGAAAAGCATGGACAAGAAATGAACTCTTGCATGTACTCAGCATCAGAGTCCACCTAGTGAACTCTTTGGCATTGTGTCTCTTTTGGCACCCTGATAAAGCCACAAGAAATAGGATCTTTTTGTCCAACCTATGACAAAGGAGAACTTACTCTACATTAATATCAAGAACTGGTATGACTAAAAGTTGTAGTCTTCTAACATCATTTTCAGAAAAAAAATCAGGTTAACAAATGAGTGATATACCTACCCTCTGCATATAATGATGGAGGTATTAACTGCAGCACTAGAGATCACACTCCTTTCTCAGACTGAATAATGCCTTAGATCTCAAATTAGAAGAACATAGCAAAATATGCTCCAGTTCTCTCTATTCTGAAAAATATTTAGGCTAGCAGTTGACTATAGTTATTGTACATAGATCTAACTTTAATAAGATCTAGACACTTGATTGAAATTCAGCAGGTTCATATGTCTTGCTTTGGGCTGGGTCTTTGGTCTTTCCTCAGCAAAGAATGCTGGTGACTTCTGTGGTAAAACACCACTCCAAAATCATGTAGGAGGGTCTGTCCATCTGGTTATTAATCAGCTTTCATGGATCCCTGACAGTAACAGGAACTGAAGACAGGAGAAGTCAGGAGGCATAGAGAAAAAAAGCGTATTTTTTTACTAATACATCAAGAAGGTAACAAACAGATAGGGTCAAATACATATCCAGAAAATGTATGTGCATTGGTGTCTGAAGACATCAATATTATTTGCAGTCTCTTCACTTATTTTAAAGGAAGAAACCAGGTGGTACCTGGCATCTGCTGATACAGGACATGGAACCAGTGACTGATAGGGGATCAAACTGAAGTTAGGTTTGCTTGTAACAAATGGGGATGCAGCTCACTACATCATCTCTGTCAGAAATTGTCTTTCATGCACAACACTCAAACATTGCCCTGTAGTACTTCTGGATAGTTTTCCCCAGAATATTAAAAAGCAAGAGGGGGAGACAGAAAGTTTGTACATCATGTGTAATGATTTGGAAGGTTGTTTGAAAGAATTAGGACTTATTAATTCCAAACATTTGAAGACATTTTAAAAAATCACAGCCATAAGCTGCAAAAGTCAATATGTATCCAGGAGACAATAGTAAAAGTTCAATCACAAACGTGCTCATTTTTTGCCTGTATTGGATTTGGCTGAGATGAAGTTAATTTTTCCCATAGCAGTCCTCATAGTGCTATTTATAGCTAGGAAGGTGTTGAGAACACACCAATGTTTTGGCTACTGCTGAGCATCTCACAGCATCCAGGCTGTCTCTCCAATGTTTCCCCTACACCAGTTTACTAGGGGTGGGCAAGATCCTGGGAGGTGACATAACCAGGAAAGCTGACCCAAACTGACCAAAGGTTATTCCACACCACATGACATCTGCTCAGATATAAAAGCTAAAAGGAGGAGGGGGGGGAGGAATTAATTATGACATTTTTTTTCCAGAGCAACTGCTACCTGTACTGAAGCCCTAATTCCAGGGAAGTGGCTGAACATCACCTGCTGATGAGAAGCAGAGAATAAATGTCTTGTTTTCCTTTACTTTCTACACAGCCTTTGCTTTATCAAGCTGCCTTGATCTCAACCTACCTGGTGATCTTCCCTCTTATTTTCTCTACCCACATCCTGCTGAGAAGAGGAGAGATAGAGCAGCTGGGAGGGCACTATGCAGCCAGCCAAGGTCCACCCACCACATAAAGGTTCAAAAGATCTGTACCTCTCTCTAGACATCTAGGGCTATGGTCCCATCAGCAAACAGTCTAACACTACAGAAACAAATCTGCAACGAGGAAGAATTGGTGCTAAGGGCCCAACTCCATCCTCCATACATTTTCATGTTTTACTCTGAACTAAGTATAGTCAGACTCCATGGATTAAAAACCTGAAAAGTGTCCCCCAGGGGTGTAGCTTGCAATTAGGTCATTCAAGAGGAATCCAGTTTGAGTGCCGAGTGATTGCTTTGCAATAGAAACTCAAGCAATTTAGTTGGTGGTAGTGCACTCGTAGCATTGACTTCAGTAGCACACTCTCGATTCAAACTAAATTGATAATACAAATCAACTTTTCACACAAGATCCACAGGTCAGATTTGTCTGCAACCATTGTTGAAAGCAGAAGTGCTGAGCACAGACAACCTTTGAAAATGTCTCATTTTTACGTGCCTGTATCAAAGGCGAACTCTTGAATATGTACTGGACCTTAATGCTGAGGCGTTGGATTCAGCAAAACACACAAGCATGCCATTAAAGATAAGTGTGCACTTAGGTATTTTTGCAGAAGAGGGAAATCAGTGGATAATATATCTTGCAGTTCTGTAGTAAAGGTGTAAAAAAAAAAATCTTTCTCTGTGAAGATGCTATTTCCGGGACACTCAAGATAAAAATGTGTCTATATGTTTGAGAAATTTATTATACAGATTAACCTCCCTTATGAAGGTTGTTAGATGGGTCAGTGTTAACCACTGCATTTCTTATGTTAGAGAATCTAAGAGTTGATCAGGACCCAGATAATTTGGATTTGGTTCCTAGTGTTGTTATTCACGTGCGGGATAACCTTAGGTAAGTGAATTTGCCTCTCTGTTTCAGCTTCCTCACCTGTAAAATGGGAATCATGATCACGAAGGAAGTTTTTGGAGGTCTACAAAACCCTTCTTAAGGCTTAGGTTACTGATATTTTTGCAATGTAACTCTTTCTGGGGTGATATGGGATCCGCCAGTTCTCTAGTTACCCAACACACCACTTCCTATTTTCCTTGCCTATATTAACCTGAAAGTATACTCAGTAGGGATTTGTCTGCAACAAAAATGCAACTCTCATTCAGTAGGATGCCTGAGATCAGTGAGGTTGACGCTATAAAGGCCAACACACATGGCTATAAGTGTATACAGCTACCAAGGGCTATTTTGCTCACAGTCGAAGAATGCCATCTTTATAAGCCTTAACCCCCCGCCTTACATATGAGAATAATAGCATTGACTTCATCAGAGCAACTGCTTCAATTACACAAGTGTGTGTGTGTGTGTGTGCATCTGTGTGCGCATGCACATGCTGTATCTGGTCCTACACACACACACTCAGTGTGTGTACATGGTATTGGAGGCTTACAATTTTTCAGCCAATATTTAGATTCATTATTAGCCTCATTTTGATGGCAAATTAAATCATTTATCCTTGGAGTACAAATTATTCCAAGTACACATTAATTACAAGCACAAAGTAGCTGTCCAGACTCCCTCTTCTATTCTACAGTCTGCAGAGAGGAAACTGAAGAGTTATGCTCCATCTGTACATATTTATTACAGCACAGTTACCGTATCTGGTACTTTTGGTTATTTATCACTTCCAGATTTTGTTATGCTATTGATCTTCTGGAAAGGGCTCACATTAGACTAAAATTAACTCTGGGGTTAAGTTTAAAGTAAAGAACAGGATTACTAATGATGGCAAAGTGTATCTGTATTCAGAGGCTTTGGTCAGCAAATCAAGAATCCCCTATCTGATTAACGTATGTTTCCCACTAAACTGCCTAAATTTAGTCTCTTACAGGTTTGAGTAACCAACATGGAATGAATTTTACAGCTGCTGGTTGGATTTGAGTGTAATGTAGACAGTGATACACTAGTTGTTAAATTAGCAAAAAGAAAAGAAAAGCAAACCAACAACAACTCCCCCCAGACAAATGCTCCAAGAAATAAATAAAGGAGTAAATCATACTGGTACTCAGATATTTTGGACTGTGGTGAACAAAAATATAGTTCAGAAATACTTTCTGGTTGCCAGTTATGAAGTCCCTGGATGCACAAACTTGACTATTTCATTACTTAATCCAGCAAATAAATATTTATTTGGTGTATACAGCTTATTATCTTGCAATTAGGTTATAAAGCACAGGTCATACCTTATTTGACTTAGTCAAGTCCCACTACACTGAATGGAGGACTACTTTACTGCTTTATACACTAATCTTAAATAGCAACACCTTGAAGCAAATGTCATTCATGCCACAAATAGTTTTTTGCTAGTGAACTTGCATGGAAAACTCCACTGAAACCAGTAGAGTTGCTCTTCCTACCGGGAAAATCTTTCCTCAGGTTTTTCTCTGCTTGCATGAGGGGTAAGAAAGATTTACTACCCTGAAATGAAATCCTGGCTTTATTGACACCAGAGACAAAACTCCTCTAACCTAGGAGTTGCTGAATTTCACAAAGTTTTTCAGGGGAAAAGAACATATTTCACTGCCATCGCCCTCAGGTGAAGTAACCTAACCAATCCCCAAAAGAACCACCAAGGCATCCATGTTACACGCAATGTGTGCTTTTGAAAAAGTGCATGGGTGCCGATGGAAAAATGATCCTTGAGGAAGGAGACTATGAAGCCGAGTGAAACAAGAGGAGCAGTTGAGCCCTGGGAGATGTGGGATCACTGCAGCCCTGAAGAATCACAGAACTGTTGGGGTTGGAAGGGAGCTCTGGCAATCATCCAGTCCAACCCCCCTGCCAAGGCAGGGTCACCCAGTGCAGGTGACACAGGAACACATCCAGGTGGGTTTTGAATGTCTCTAGAGAGAGACACTTCACAACCTCCCTGGGCAGCCTGTTCCAGTGCCCTGCTACTCTCAATGGAAAGAAGTTATTCCTCATGTTGAGGTGAAGCTTCTTGTGTTTTAGTTTATGGCCATTGCTCCTCATCCTTGCACTGGGCACCACTGACAATAGTCTTGCACCATCCTCTTGGCACTCACCTTGGAGATATTTATGTGCATTGATGAGATCCCCCCTCAGTTTTCCCTCCTCTAGACTAAGACAACGCCCATCAGGAGTGTTGTACTACATTGGGGTCCTCTCGGGGGAAGGGAAATGGGGTAAATTCTCTCTCTAGGTCCATTTCACCCTTCTGCCAGCATTACTACGGAGTGTGGCGAGGTGAGTCGCGGCCGTGTCCGAGAGGCACGAACGGACGCTCGGACAGGTGCCGAGCAGGGCTGTCCGGGACAGAGGGACGCGGTTTTCAGGCGGAGGGGCCCGGGGGCCGCGCAGTTCCCTCGGGCGGTGCCGTGCGCTCGGCGGGGCCGCTCTGAGGGGGATCCCCGGCCCCGCCGCCTGCGGGGGCGGTGCTGTGCGTCACAGAGGGGGCGGGGCCGGGGATCCCCCGCGCCGCCACGTCACGGGGGGCGGCCCCGCTCCGCCCGGGATGGGGGGGCTGTGCCCGGGTGGCGGGACCCGCGCCGTGCGGGGCCGTGCGGGACCCGACAGGGCCGTCCCAGGTTGCGCTGGCGCTGCCTTCGCCCCCCGCGAAGTACGACCCTCCCTCGGCCGGCCCCGCCGCCAGCGCGGGTCTGGCCGGCGGGCGCCCCGCTGGGGGGGGGGCCGGGGCGGGCGTGCGGCGCTGAAAGCCCGCGGGCAGCCCCCGCCCCCCGCATCCCGCCTCCCCCCGCATCCCGCCTCCCCCGAACCTCCTGAGCTCGGGAAACCGCCCTCCGCGCTCGGCGTGGCGCCCCAGCGGGAGCGCTTGTTTCCCCGCTCCGGGGCGGGACGCCCGCCTCACTCCAGCCCCACGCCCGCCGCCTCGCCTCCCTCCCTCAGTCCCATCCCTCCCGCCGCTCCTGTCGCGTCCCCCGCCTGGCCCTGGATGCACAGCCGGGGAACGGCCGGAGAGAACCCCACCTGGGCTCTCAGCTGGTCTCGCCTTCCCCTCTGGGCTCAGCGGAGCAGCTGCCTAACCTGCTCTAGATTTTAATTTTAGGATCTTTTGAGAGGTTTTGTTTTTTGTGGCTCCCCCCCCCCCCCCCCCCTACCCCCGATTTTGGCGCTCAGCAATGTCTTAAACGGATTACACGGAGGAGGGGTTGAACCTGAAAAACTCATTCATCCTCACGACGGTCCTATTCATTGCTGAAATAGGTGTAGCGTAAGAGCCGGTAAGATCCTCCCCCAGCCCCACTCGTATTCTGGGGATCTGTTTCAGCTTTCCTCCCTTGAATAGTGGGGATGGGAGGAGGGGGTCTTCTGCTCTTGAGCTGACAGAAGCGTAATCATAAATCACCTACCTTGTTTGTCCTTCTGTCCTTTGGTCATAGAGGGGCTCCAGCCAACTGTGTGGTCTCACGTACCGTTGCTCCCGCTGAATAGTTTCCAAGTTTGAGGTAAAAAAATCAAATCGCACTTTTCACGGACTTATTGAGACGCTCAGAAATAAAAAATAATTAAAAATGAAAATAATAAAAAAAGTCGCTTAAGGCTAGTCAGTCCTACTCATTTTCTCCCACGTGTTTTCACAATTACCACGTATCTGTCTTTCTCTGCTTCAGTTTCTAGCTCAAAGTTGTGGGATTTTTTTCCTCAAATAATAGTAATAATAATAATAATAATAATAATAATAATAAAGAAATAATAAATTAGGAGTTAGTTTCTCGTGGTCGAAGCTGAAGATCTTATTTCAAACCCCGCTAGCCAGGAGCCTGGAGAAGTTGCAAGGCAGCGTCTGAAAGTTTGAGATGTACAGCATCAGATAAAGTCTCTGGTGATACCTTGCTGCCCGAGTAACAGTTTCAATGATGTTTCTCAGCAGCAGCAGCAGCAAACGGGTAATATTTTCCAGACGTCTTTTTCTTTCCTGCTGCTGCTGCTGCTGCTGCTTTTCTGCCTCTTCCACGTTATGGGGTCTTTTAACAAGTGAGACTTGAGTTGTTTTAATAGGCGGAGGATGGGAAGAAGGAGGGGAGGGAACTCCTGTAAGGAAAAAAAAAAAAGCAACCAACCCTGCCCATTGAAATGATCTCAGCCAAGGATTTAGCGTCAGAAATTTAATTAGCTACTTGCAAATTTTGCAGAGAAATGCAATACACATATGTTGCCACCAACTGGTTCCTCTTCGTGCCCTGCAGTGGGGGCAAGCCCCCAGTTTCCCCACTCCCTGCGTCCCTGGGCTTGGGGTGTGGGACTCGTCCCTCCCACAGCCACTATTCGGCTGGGACAGTTATTGCTGCTGCTGGTTTTTATTAATAAGGGAATTTCCTCTATGAATGGATGAACTTTTCAGTTTTCAATCCTGCTTTACCCATTCACTCACAGGAACATTTGTTGTAGCAAAGACCCAAGGAAGCTCCCACTGAACTTCATACCCCCGCCTCAAACGTTAAAACAAGCCAGGAAACACGTTAGGCCATTTAAAAACTGGAAAACTGTGGCATGGGTTTTGATTTGGTGTTTTGTTTGGGGGGGTTTCACTTGTTTTGTTTTAAATCAGAAATGTCCGCTCTTTTCTGTCGATGGTTCGCGGTAGCCGGGGGCACCCGCAACTCACAGCACACCCCACTGCTGCTCGCCAGTTGCTTTCACTCGCTCGTTATGACTCTGTTCTGCCTTAAAGGCGGATTTCCCCGCTTTCGAGCCTCCGTTTCCACTTGAAATGATACAAAAGAGGCACTGGGTGGCACTGTTGAGGCGAGTGGAGCAGCGCGGGGTCCGGAATCCCCCAGCGCCGGGCGCGGGGCCGGAGCGGGGCCGCGCTGGCGCTGCCGCGTCTCGCCGTGCCCTGGCGGGGACCCGCGGGGGAGGATGGCGGGGATCAGCTTCCCATTCCCCCGTGCTGTTTTCTCAAGGACCACAAAGGTCGCTGCTTTGAGGCGTCGCGCCCACAAAGGGAGCCGTGTCCAGACACCGTTGGGAAATCCGGAGGTGACTCTTCGCCGAGTTATCGCCTGTCGTTACCTTACCGTGTGGGAAAACTTCGGAGCCCTCTGAGGGCTTCTCATGTGCAAATAAATGGTTTAAAGTCGGTGGTTACCTAGACTGCAGATTTTTTGGGAATCTGTCTTGTGGAAGTGGTTAGAGCACAGGTGTGCTCCAAGGGGAGAGTGGCTTTAGGATGCTGCATCAAAGCCGAGATCCTTGAACGATCCATCTGTCTCAAATAACAAGTCTGATGGTAGTTTAAGTCAGTATTGTGAGCAGTTTTAACCTGGATGTGGCAGGGAAAGCAGCTGTTTCACCCTTGCCCTCACTGTCCCTTTTCCTACATCAGAAGAACTAACCTAGGTCAGAAATTAGTTACCTGGGGAGAGGGAACAGCAAAAGTTAAGAAGTGCCTTGGGCAAGGTGAAGGCAAAACAACTGCTTTTAGCAACAATCTGATTTTTGATGGTTTAGAGTGCCCTTGAAAGTACATCATGACTTAGCAAGCATGGAGTCTGTCGGGGCTTTCAGGCATTCCTCCTTTTCAGGCCTTCCTCCCTAGGCAGCCCCATTCTCGTACTCCAACCACCTCCAAATGATCTGTGTCACACCATCTTTTGTTACAGAGCCTCTCTCATCAGGCAAGGGACATATTGCAGTGTCTGCTCCTAACAGGGCCAGAGGGCCAGAAGGGTGTCAAGAAGGCTACTTGACCCCTTCTCCACAGCAGCCTTCCTACTAGCCAAATATGTAGTGTAAGCCAGGCTTAACATGACCATAGAATCATAGAATGTTAAGGGGTTGAAATGGACCTTAAAGATAATTTAGTCTCACCCCCCCATTGCCATGGGCACCTTCCACTAGACCAGGTTGTTCAAGGCCTTATTCAACCTGGCTTTGAACACTGTCGGGGTTGGGACACCCAGAACCTCCCTGGGAAACCTGTTCCAGTGTCTAACCACCCTCATAGTTAAAAATTTCTTTCTAATACTTAACTTAAATTTCCCCTCTTTCAATTTGTACCCATTGCTCCTTGTCCTATCACTGCAGTTCATGAAGAATGACAAATGTTCGTCATTTATCCAGGCAAGGAGCTACCTCATCAAGGTCTGCTACCATCATACACGTAACCAAGTCCTTGATGTCTGCATGAGTCCTAAAGCGTCATTTCCTGATATCAGAATTTCTCTGGCACTGTCAGAGGCAAGAGAGAATTAAGTGGTAACATGGGTGTCCCTAGTCCGTCCTTCAGCATGGCTACCCTCAACACTGTGCCTTGAGGAGCTGTTGCTGCCAGCGCCTCTGGGTTCCTCGGACACTTGGCTGCCTTGTCTTGATTCAGGGACACGTATGTCCTGCATAGGGGACTTCACTTCTAGGATAATTTCTGAAATGAGGTTTCAGGGGGAGAGTGGGCTTGTTTGGTTTAGTTTGGTTAATAAGCAAATGTTACAAATTAATTTTTTCAAATGAGCATTTTTTACAAATGAACTAGCTTTTTTTTTTTATTCCACCTTTCAGTAATTTATATTTGTAGACTGCACGCCTCCTCTACTGATGACTGTATATTACTCTGGAAATACACAATGTCCCATTGGCTTAATCCCGTGCTCTTTAGGTTTGAACAGGGATCAAGAGACAGAGCCTGGTGAGGCACAAATCTTTGTGCAGCAATAGCAGCACTTAAATCACACCAAAATTTTGCTTTAGAAAATGACATAATGGGAATGGTGAGTCTCTCATGTCCACAGCTATTTCCTTCTCAGCCATACCTCATGTTGTGCGATCACACTGTCAGGGCAAGTGGGATAATGTAGGCCGGTAAGTTAGGTTTGCCTACCAGGAAGGAATTAAAATTAGGAGGATATGATTAATGCCAATCCACGCAATGCTGTAGAAACCAGATGTAGATGTATTTCATTAGAACTATGTCACATCTACATTTATATGTTATGTTACATCTACATGGTTACCATTATCAAACAATCCTTCTTTCTAATTGTGATTTATAATCACACGTAGTGAGGAAAAGGGAGTTCTTGGCTGTCACTGTCCACAGGCACAGATTATCATCAGCTGTAGGGGAATAATCTTAATTAACTAACCTAACTTAATTTTCTATTGAGACGATGGGTGTGTTTGACAGAGGTCAGACAAAATATATTTTTGGGGGAGTTTGGCATAGGCTATGGTTGAATAAATTGGTTACTGAAGATCAAATCAGTGGATGAATTGATGGCATGTAAGCCACTCTTTAGCAATCATTGAGTACTCACTTTTAGCCTGAGGGAATGGCTCCATGTGCTTTTTCCCACCTCTTCTTTCCTATCATCCTCAAAAGTATGTGAATTCTTGCCTCCAACATACACCACACACACATATGTCAATCTACTCCCTCTCTTGGACCAGCAGAGTTTGCAGTGCTTCACTGATCCCTTCAGTGACCAGTGTTGAAGGCAGCAGTCGAGCCATTTCTACGTGTGAACTGGTTGTGCAGGGGACAGGGCTGCTCTGGGGTGGAAACCAGCAGCCAGTGGTAGCTGACAGCAGGATTACCCTAAACAGCCTCTTTAGTAGCTGCCAGGAAAACAGGAGCGGAGGTGATCCCTCAGTGAAGGTGAGGGCTCTTATCTCGCGTCATCCCTCAGGTAAGGATTTATACAGGCTCTTTTACTGCAGATCAGCTACTGTGTAGAGCTTATCAATAAGAAAAGCATGAAGCAAACACTTTGCAATGCATAGTTACCTTCACAGTAAGAAAATGAGAGAAAATAAGGTTCTTTGTCATGTAACAGTAAAAAGCTAAAAGAGGAAGGTAGATATATTCATACTAGACAGAAGGCATAGTTTAGTAGCAAGCTTTCTTTACACAGTTATCTGAATGATGAAGGAGAGTGGTGTATTCCTATGTTTTGAAATCCTCTGGAGGCCTTTTTGGAAGCTACATTTTAGTTCAGTGCAATTTATTTGACCCCGTACAAGAATAACTGAATGGATTTCCATAACAGGAATATCAGACAAAGTGATCTAGCAGTTCCTTCTACCCCTAGACTCCATGGAACTATCAACAACCCCGCTGACATGTCAGGTATGTTCCACACCTGTTTCCACATGTAGCAGATTCTGCTGGAAGTGAGAGAGTTACAGAAACCAATATGGGTGTAAGTGAAAGCAGGATCATGCCCTAAATTATGATTTTATGGCAACTGAGAATCCACTCACAGATTTTAATATAAATGTCATGGGCAGTTTAAGGCTCATGAAGACTGGGTGCAGACAGACCTAACACTGTGGTTGTTTTCACCATATGTAGAACCATTTTAGAGGCTTCTAGTGTTCTGCTTATTTAAATCCAAGGTTATTTATCTGCAAGGCTCTACAGGGTCCAGAGAAAACCATTGGTCTTTAAAAGGAAATCACTCTTGCAAAATTGAAACTTTCCAACAATTGCTCTTTAATATAGCAGAGAAAGTCATAACTCGAAGCAACACTTAGAAGTTAAACAGAGGCAGGTTCAGACTAGAAACAAGTCATGCACATTTGGATGTGTACAGAACTCTTAGCTAGAGTGGACTGTGACTATCAGCACAAATGCCTGTCAGGATGGTTTGAAGTAATGAGTTTTAATGTGCAACCAGCATGGAGCAGAAGGGAAAGCAGGTCAGTTAGAGGTTTCTTTTGTGAAGTCTAATTTAAGAGAAATTACTTAATCACATGCCTATAGCCTAATGTGACAGTAGTGAAAGTCCAGTTTAGAATGTCTCAATGTTAATTTTAAGTAGAAGCATTATATTCTATGTAGGATTCATAGATAACACCACATGAAACAAAAAGCACGTGCAATTAAAGGTAGGTCTATAAACAATGACTCTACTAGTGAACTAGACTGACCAGAGCCAGGCAGCTCAAGGCTGGCACATGTTAATCCACGCTATTTCACTG